CCACTTATGATCCAGCAAAAGTTTTGGTAGGGAAATTATCTCGTGAACTGCAAAAGCTAGGAAGCTCAAATTTTAGCGTAGCGTCCCCCGCCTACATACGACTCCGTTTTGGTGGGAAAAATTATTATCTCGGGAGCCAAAAGAGTCAGGGGCTGAAAATCTCGGGAGAATGTTTTCTGCCTAAGCAGGGCTTCACAAACTCCAATTCAGTTCCTACGTATGCCAAGGGCTCACATATACGAACATGTGAAAGTATGTCGCAAAAAACATTTGAAAGCCAGAAAATTAGGAAAGTGAAATTGTGAAAGGATATTCGCCCTTCGACGTTTCAAATTCAGCTTTCACGTGCCGGTGCGTGAACTTTTTAACTATTTCTCAGCACTTCAATTATTTTTGCACAGACCAAAGTGCAAAGCAGTGAAAATCGCTAGCAGACAATCCTACGGCGGACAGGCTTGCAAAGAACGCATGAACGCTCTGGCTGTCCTGGTGAATGCCAGAGCGTTCATATCGCTGACATGCAAATGAGTGAAAACAAGACCTGACGAAAAAAGTTATCTGCGATAAACATACACATGAACATGCAATCTCTTTTGACAATAAAATAAGCGTTTAGCATTAGTACTGACAACTCCTCCAAATACCCATCCCGCAAGCATGTCACTCTTTCCACAGACGCCTGCTTTTCCTGCATGAACATCCGAGCGCATGCAAAAGCGGCAACAATTAATCTCTTATGCCCATCGGTTTTTGGGAAAAATTCTGAAAAATTCTTGATTCGCTGGCTTCGCTCGTATCTGTCAGTGAAAGGACGAGGGAGCAAACCAAAATCTCACTTTCGATCGCCGAAAGGCGAAAAATTATTTTGTTAGGCGTTTTATCAGATGAAAAAGTATGTGGCCCCTTTGTGACACGTGAAAGCATCCAGAAACGCTAAAATCAAAAAAAAAAAGATTATGCTCTCAGTGCATCGATAAATCACGAGGACACGACGTTATGTTAACGCAAATAGTATTTTTTTCTTTCCATGGCAAAAATGCTGGACAGGAGCCACCTTTGTGCTTCACAACGACAGAATGTATGCAACGAATTCCTGGACAGCAAAGAAAAACTTGCAGTGATCGGCTATATAGGCGGTCCAAAACAAAAAATGATCCCCGAAAATCGAGACGCTCGAAAGCCAGCGGGCACAGAAATACGGGGATCAAAGAAAAAGCACTCTTCTTGCCTTTTTTTGTCCTATTCCAGGACTATCGAAAAGACCGGCCATCTACAAGAATTCTACAAGAAACAAGAAATCATTCTGTGGGATGGAAAAAAGTAATTTCTAAGCTCCTAGCATCTAATTGTATGCTACAATCAGCTTAGATAGTGAAGTGACGTTTCTTCCTCTCCCCGTCCAAACCCTCACGTCTGCTGTCTGTTCCTGTACTAACTGAGGTGAAACATTGCTAATGGGAGAAACAGCCTGGATAAACTGTTTATATTCGCTTTTTCATAAGTCCTGGTGATGACGAGTTCCTGTACATGTATGCATGTGTATGAATGTCATCCATATTCGTATCAAGTGGAAGGACGAACTTCCGAAACTTAGTGCCTGGCCTTGTAATAACTCGAGGCCCTGATGTCAGCCATGTAACTTCAGTGGATCCATAAAAGTGGCGTCAAATTCATGTGTTTGCTGAACGTGTGCAGAACAGGTCATCATGGACAGAAAACTGCGCAAAAATGCATATTCACACCGTTGTTCATCACACATCGCAGCTATTTTTACGTGAAATGTTACTACTAAAAAAAGTCGGCAGACAATCCCACCTTCGCCCCCCCCCCCTTAAAAAAAGATAAAAAATTGTACCGTGCACAGAGCGCAGAAGCAAAATGTCATGCATGCAACAGCAAATGAGGCTGTGGGAAATCAAGCCCGTATAAGCAAAAGAAAATTAGTTTACCGGAGAGGCGTCGTCCTCGTTTGCGAGACATCGCCAGAAAAAGCCGACTATCCACACACTCAGAAGCATTCCTGTCGCCAGCCGTCCTCATACTCAACGATGCTGCCACTAAATTAGCCGCAATTCAATGAATTACTCACTCAGCGAATAAAGGCAAAAAGGCACAGGATTTTCGTGCAGCAGCACATATCGATGACTCTTCTCGAAATCAACCTCTTCGCATGCCCTCCGAGTGCACTTCACTGAGCCCGCTCCTCCCCACTGCTGCTTCGACAGAGGCCGGCTTGTACATATCCTGAGGCCAGACCAATCAGACTGCAATGCCACTTTTGCACCAACGGATCGCAAGTGCACTGGTAGTTCCCCGTGGGAGGTAAAAGCCCCACAAATGCGCCACGAGCAGCAGCACTTAGCAGCAGCAGCAGAAGCAGTGTGCAGTCAATGCTGCAAAATGTGAAGAAATGCCACTCTGCGCAGCCCACTCGCGCCCCCGTTCTGACCTTCCCTCGATGATCACCCGCCGGACAGACTGCTGACGACCAGCCGGACTGTATAAGTCACTCATCCC